CAAGAATGCTGCTACAGAAGGCTGATATGTTGGGGATGGAATAAGAAAGGGGAGAAAAAGCAGGTAATTTGGAGAGAAAGATTAAAGAGGAAGTGTACATATCTCTACTCTGTCTTTGAAGCCATCCTCTTGAACCTTAGATTTGAATTTCATTAACATCTATTGCACGTAAATATATTTGAACAGTAACAATACTGATTTGTAAGATGTCTTTTTCCTACTCCGGTGCATATCCAGTGGGCTTTAGAAAAGAATTGTCAAGGGGACAGAGATGGAGGCTGTCAATGGATCTCATAAGAGCTAGGATTTCACCTGGCAAGCAGCATAGTACAGGTGAAGTAATGGCCAAGAATAAGGAAGTTCTAGAAAGGATGCTAGAAGACAGAAATAAAAAATGGTGCTTGTGGCCTGTGGGAAATAGCAGCAATGGGGACCAGCTAGTTCCATTGACCCTCTAGTATTCTGTTTTCTAGATATTGCTACTAGCCTCTCCCTCAAGCTGTCCAGAGTGAACTTGAGATGTTTATGAGTGGATCTGTATGGTGGGAGGGGTGGGCTGAATTTGGTGCTGTTGGTGCTATCACACCTTCTCTGTGCACCTCCACTTTTGGTTGCTGCTGTGGTGGACAATTTCTTGTGAGTTGAGCTCATTCCAACAATGTCCCTCCTCCAGCCTGCACCACACCTCTCTCCACTTAGGACTGCACTTAGGCCTGTTTCTAAGTTACAAGAAAGTCAGATTGTGTGCAAGTGTGGTGGGCAAGACCAAGGCTAATATCCCATGAGCACCTGTAACAAACAGGGACAGGGCTAAAGAGAAATGTCCCAGCACGATGCTTTTCAGACAGGAAATTTTGGGATGCATTCCTTTGTGCTATCAGAGGAAAAATCCAGCCTTTTGCCTACTGAGGCAACTTTAACAGCATAATTGTGTATTGGCCTTTCCCCCTTTCCTGTCTCCTCTTCTACTGCCATTTATTTATTTATTTTGAGTTCAAAGTCTGGACTCACAGATAAACAGACAACCTAAGAATTTTCCTATATTTGCAACTGCACATTGGATTTCATGATATGCTCAGATTTGTTTGGTAAACTAAGAGATTGATCTGGATAAATAATAAAATTTGTGTTAATAGCATTTATTTCATAATCATCCTATAATCTTTTCAGAGGTAAAGTTCATGTGCATTTGGTTTTGGGGGAACACTGGCTGCCTCCAGTGTTTAATATATGTTGCATTTTTCAAAGCCATTTTGTTTTCCAGGCTACTTGATAGTTTTTAACCTTCACTGGTAAATAAAAAAGTTCATTTTTTCAACACAGCTCTTACCAT